GCAGACTAAAATCACGGAAAAGGAACAAGGTGCAGGAAGATCACAGAAGGCCCAAAGTAGGGCGAGGAATTCTTTTTGCGCGTCGTTCGACCTGAATATGCGTTTAAGGGCGAATATAAGCCTGCATTTCGATAAATAAATATGCAAAATAAAATTGAACAATAGATATAGGTAAATGTATGATTTCCTACGTAGAGCACTTTATTGAATGCGGATATAAGCTTTCGCTCTTCGATATACGTTTCTGTTGAAACACAACTTTACTTCTTCTATGATTAATCGCTTCGTAAAGCTTCGATGGAATCGAATGGGATTGTAATAAACAGGATAAAAACTTCCGTAAAAGTAAAAGGAAAAGAGAACGGGTAAAAGAAAAGAGAGAGAGAGAAAAAAAAGAAGAGAAAGCGAGCGAGCTGTAGAAGGTGATTTATTATGCCGCACTATCCCAGACACTTCCGAGGACAATAGGTTAATATTTCGCGAAAAAAGGATAAGAGTTAGAAGAAATGGGTTATACGTGTGAGGAATAGTCGATATTTCTTTCGCAGGATCATTTCTCAGAGGCTTCGACGTAGGAGCATTAATCGCGCCGTCGAAATACTTGTCTCGCATCCGAGAGCGAGTCTTGCGAGCCAACCGGTATTAACTACTTATCACGGTCGACTTCGCGACGTTATCAATATTGCAGCCTTCCGCCTCCCTTAATTTCATAAAGTTCGCGCAGCGCCTCTCGCGCATTAACGCTCTCGCGAGCTATATCGAGGCTCTTTAAAACTGCATTATCGTTTTCTTCCCGGAGAAGGTCCACTCGGTCTTAAATCCCGAGATCCGCGGACCATCTCGTAGTCCGCTAAACTTTCGTACACACTGGCCCTTTATTAACTTTCCCGCTTTTTACTTCTTGTCCCTCATCCTCATGCCGCGGCGCGGGCACGTTCCTTTCTTACCTCATTGGCAAACTTTAGTGAGCTCCTACCAAAATCGATTTTCATTCTTGTTGAAGTCGCTCGAGAGAGATACAGATAAGACTTAATTCATTTTAACATAACGGTGAACTCGACTCTCCGAATATAATAACTGTAATATGTTATAATATTATCGGAAGTCTGCAATAACTATTATAGCGCTTTTTTTCAAATTGGAAATAAATAATTTGTTACGAATAAAAAGACCAGTTGGGAAAGATTATTTACTATTATATTATTTCGTAATATTTTCTTTAGGAAAAATAACGTCTTTCTATACTGCAAACTAGAATAAGAAAGTGCACAAAACTTGCGACTGTGTGTATGTCGATTTATGCAGGATCAATTTTCGCAATCCGAGGAAAGCTGCGATAGTTTCCGCAACAGTTTGTGAATTAATTCACAGCCAGATACCGAAAGAGCAACGCGGATGTTCACAAAGACGCAATATGGCAGTACAGCTGGCCAATAAGTTTCTGAAAGCGTTATGGGTTGACCGGCCGCGCCCTTTTGAGGCCAGATGCGATAGCTTGTTCTAGGAGTTCGCGTCTAAATAGTCGGTAGAGCGTCGACAGTTTCGCAAACTGAAGTTGGACGATAACGGCGGTCGTAGGTGTTGACGGTAAAGCGCGGCTGTGCTGCAGACGTGGTAAGTTTTACCATCGAGAAAGAGCAGGATGACCGACCATCCTGGCGTCACCGCCAACTTGAATCAATCAAAGCGAGAACGTTTCATGTATATATGTATATATATGTATATACCCGAACAGAGGCGTATTTTCGGCCCGACTTGCTCTCGGCTCCGATTCCCGGGTTGGACCACCCATCCCGGAAAAACTTTCGACATTTCAAATTGCGCAATTTCCTATGCGAGACCAAGGCGAGACGTCACCCGCTGATCCTTTGTCTCCGCGGAAGCGATCCGCACTGGAATCTTGTCCGAGATTTAGCTAGTCCGCTTCGATCGGGCGGACCTCTCGAGTGGAAAATGCATCCCCCGGAAAGCGACATTGGAATTGCGGGGATTGAAACCAGTATAATTTCGGGAAGTTCAATTTCGAACGTCACAGATTTCGAAAATGTACATAGCTTAATCGGAGTAATTGCTGCGTATGTAACATGCGTTACATTTCTCAATGATATAATCGATCACGGAGATATTAATAGTTGCTACAGATAAGTTATTAAACTTATTTCATTGAAAAATTTTATTTTAAAAAAATGTTTGATTTTTTTCGAAAGATTTAATAAGACCTATTATTATTAATGAAAGAATTTTCAATTGAAACTTTTATCTCTTCAAAATTTTTAAAAAATTTAAAATTTTTGTCAAATTCTTTTCTATGTATTAAAAATAAAGTAAATAAAAAATTGCTGAGTTACTCTACAGTCTGCTTTCTAAAAATCTCAATTTATAGTCTGTTTAAAAATGTCTCAAATCAAATATATATATAATGTTTATAATATACTTATTTAAATTGAAATTGTAATACATCAAATTTACAAGAAGAAAGTCTTAATAAAATTGAAATTGAAGCAATTGGAGATGTTCCATAAAAGTAAAATAAAATTTTACTTCTACATGTATATTGAATAACATTATAAGTAGAAAAAATCAATTTTATAATTTTTCAATATTTCTGATCGAAGTGAATTAATTTCGCCTCGGGGTCAAAGGTAAAAAAATTAAACACAGGGGTGAAAAGAAAATGAATAAATGCCCCGATCCCTTCTTCGATTTTCGCTCCAAAAAATACCTGAGGGAGCAATGAATGGAAAAACGTATCTATGATACGAGTGGATACCTTTCAAAAGGACTCATGGGAGAATGAAACTTATTCGTCATCCTGTCGGCCGATAGGTCGCACCAACTACCACCATTGCTCCACCTTAACATACCCGGGAGATCCTAGAGGGTGAACTCTTCCAATAACCAGAAAAAATATGTATTATCATCCTCCAAAAGAAATAAATTTACTATAAATGTGCTGGGGGAGTAGCAAGATCATAGATTAGGGCAATAATGTCCCTTAAAAGAGACTTCTCTCCTCTTCATCAATCAAATGTTTATTATATATTCTACCTATAATGGCACATGAGTTCATTTTCCTGTTTAAATGACTTGTAAATTACATCTTTTCGCGCGGATAAAAAATATTCTATCATAAAATCAATACATTAAAATAAAGCATCCACTTTACCGAAATAGAAACAGAACTGTAAATAAATTAATCGCAATCGTTTCTTGTTCTGGGTCTCGTTAGTTCTCGAATTCCATTAAAATTTAGCGTTTCTAGATAAAGGGGAGGTAAACGGAGTGAAAAGTCTGGTTAGATCGCAAACACATGAGATGCCTCTTCAGAAAATAAATTGCTTGAATAATGGAAAAGAATCGCTTGAGCCAGGCTTACGCATTTCCTTCTCTCTCTCTCTTTCCCTTTTTCTCTATCCTTCCTCTTTCTCTCCTTTTCATCAAGACTTCTCGGACCAGCAAAACCACCCTATCGCGTGTCACTCGCACGTATCCAATCCCAACCGCACTCTTCTCTTGCGATGATTCTATGCAATGAGATTATTCGCTAACTCTCTCTAATTCCTAAAAATTTGCTCAAATCTTGTTATAAAGAGACGCGCGTTTTAATTTTCTGAAAAATAGATTGTAAAATAAAAACGTTCATCGTGCAACAATTTGACTGTTAAATTTTTAACGCCCAAGAAGTTTATGTATTTCTTAATAATTCTCCATTTAACACGTCACTCAATCTGTTACCAGATTCCCTCGCACATACACGTTGAAGTATTCTTTATTTATCTGTCAACATCACGAGAGAATTCCGTCTCGTTGCCTCGTACTTGAAGCATCCACAATGAAAACGAGACGGAAGTTACGCTAAGAATTCGTCACGAGTTACGAGAGAAAAAAAAGAACAAGCACACACAACTATGGCAAAGCTGTGGGGAATAAGAAAGTCGAGAAGGAATCCTTAGACGTTCAGTTTATCACGTTGCCAGTTTAACAAAGCATTCTCGTTTAACGGAGATAACGTTCTCCGTACAGGAAAAAAATCGGAATTCGTGCAACAACTTGGCTCCTAACAAGGAGCTCCTAACATAATTCTTCCGTGTCAAAGCGTTTAGCAAGTTTAATTTTGATTTCAAAAAATTGAAATACTATTGTTAATAAAATACACATGTATTTAAAAATATACTTCTCTTTAACGCTAATATTTTGTTAGTGGTCTCATTATAATTTTCTGAATTTGTTTTTGACGTAGTTGTTCCAAAAGATCTATGAGAGAAAGATTTTAATTTTTTTAATATATTAAATTATTAAAATAAAATCTGATTTTATTACGAGATTATTTTATATTAAAGTGTTCAAACAATATCACATTATTAATATTTTGCAATATAAATTACAAGAATTTCGTTCTACAAATCTTACATGATATTGTTATCTCCTAAACGTATCGATTAATGGGCACTAGAAAATCCGACATTTCGATCTATTCAACGGCTACTATCTCTCGCATTGGCATTCTTCTCGGGATTTTAGCTTTAGAAATAATTCGTTCTAAACTTCAATCCGATTCGCGCAATAAGTGTCACTGACCTAACGTGTGTGGACTATAAACTAAACTAGTCCATTCGCTTCATCACTATTGCGAAATTTAATTCTGAAAGTAACCTGGCAGATAAACGTAACTAACCTTCTGTCAGTCTGACTTCAATCTTAAGAAAGCTATAAAAATAAACAAGGGAAGATACTCTCAAATAGATCATTCAAAACTTATCAAGACTATAAAAAAGTCGTGAAACGAAGAATTGATAAAGGGTTGCATGACTACACTGTCGTCGAGATGACACAATGAATCCCTTCGAATCGCTATATATAATCTGGATTAGTGTCAATCTATCGTAAAAATATTCTAAAGATGACGCAGCCTTTCTCGACATTGAAGCCGCGATGTCTCGGTGCCATATCGCGAGAATTCGCGAATATCGAAACTATTTAACGACCGAGGGATTTTTCAGAGTGTCGTGTTGGAGATGAATCGACTTGGGATGATGGTGGACCTCTCCCACGTCTCGGTGCCCACGATGCTGGCCGCCATGGCAACATCGAGAGCACCGGTGATTTTCAGTCACAGCAGCGCTCACGCCCTTTGCAATTCCTCGCGAAATGTGCCTGACCACGCGCTGCAACTTTTGGTAAGTGCCTCTAGATAGCGAAAGTCAAAGATAAATGCATGCAACGTTTTAACTTATATATATATATACGAAGCAGATTTATATGTAATTGCTTCAAAGATTTAATGCTTCTATACATATATCTATTTTTCTCAGTAAATATTATATATGATAATTAATTTATCTTATATTCTTTTTAACTCTAGATTTTCATGAATTATAATTATATTAATAGTCTCATACTAGAGTATATAATTTTTTGTATATATATATTTTTGCTTCTAAAGAGTTATCAAAAACGAGTATGAACAAATTATTTTTTCATAGTTTATTTTTAATCAAAGATCACGATATTTAATTAGATATTTAAAAAAAAATATGAACATTTTGTTCGAAGGCGCAGACCGGTGGTATAGTTATGGTATCCTTCTATCCCCATTTTATCAGCTGTGGCGAAAAATCAACGCTCGAGGATGTAGCAGGTAAGCGATAAGAATTATTCAATTTTAATTTTAATACGTTCGCATTTGCGTAAAACCTAATATATGAACAACGTAAAAACGGATATTACAAATGGCTTGAATAGCGCACGATAATAAAATTTTCGAAAATAAACTCCAATTATCGAGGTGGATATTATACAAGCTTAAAGCGCGCGATATTTGTTTACCGAAATGTGCCATTATCACGGTATTTTGAAAATAAAACATAACGCGCGCATACAATACGATCATCGGACATCTGATGAAATTGGCTATTAACTCGCATTAATATTTTTCCGTCTGTACTCCGAAATGAGATAAAAAATTGGGGCATTGAATAAAATTTTCTTCATTAACTTCTTTCTCTCTGTAATCAACGTTACTTTGACGCGCTTTTATCTTCTCTAGCTTTGAGCAGGCGATAACAATCGCCCGCTCTTATATTTCACAGTAAAGGTTAATTGAGAAGATTATCGCACTTAGTTTCTTTTTTCACGACTGACATGGTTTCCGCGACTAAGCCAACTAGTCTTTCAAAATCACCGTTGACGTCGCAAAAACGAACATTTTTTTCTTTTTGCTATCTTATTTGCATTATTGTAGAGATGCTTAAAGTTTCGAAGTTATTAACATTTGAGGCCGTATCGATAATGTAAATCAGCTCTGTATGTATATATGTATGTGTATATATAATGCAAATTAAATATAGGGATTGTGAAAACGGAATTTTAATCGAGAGCACGTAGCTCCGATGTACTCTGAGATTAAATTGAAATGAAATATCATATTTCTCGTTCGAAATACGTCAATTTAAATTATTAATTTAGACAGGTTAAGCAATCTGAAAAAAAGGATGAAATTTCATTGCATTGTAGTAATTACTGTAACTTTTCCCGCGGTATTTCAAGTATGCCGTTTCTGATAAAGTTAACTCTCTACTTTCGAGCGAGATCGATTGCGAAAGCCGAGAACGTCGTGTGTGTGTATGCACCGTAATCCAAAGTTCACACTTTGCGCAGCTAAGCCGCGCTTCTAAATGCATTTTACGAAAACCCGAGCGTCTCTAAAGGCAAATGTGACAAAAAAGTGACGTTTTCCCGCGGGTGCAGCCAATTCCGTTCTACGGTATTGCCAAGCGGTGTCAGTTTTTGTACATAGAACGCGAATTTTCCAGATCTACAAGAAGGAGAAACGAGATCGACACACACAGGACGTTTACCTTCTCTCTCTCTCTCTCTCTCTCTCTCTCACTCCGTTAAATAAGAGTCGAGAAAACGCGGCGTTAGGAAAATGTCATAATTCTTAATCCACGAAGATAATAGACGCGAGATAATAAATTCTTTAATTTCGTTCATTTTTCTCGCGCTAATCTCTCGGGGATCTCGCGGGATGCAAACTCCGGAGAACCCCGCAAGATTTGTAGTTTTACTAGGATCGTAATAATCCCATGTCGCCATTTTCCACTGTTTCCATGCACCTTCCATAAGAATAAGCAGGTGCGACGTGGATAATATCGCTCCGAGATACAGAAGGCATCTCGTCCTCGGATACGAGAACCGCTGTGAATTTCTCTCTCGCGCGATATCGAAACGTCAAATTGCGCATCTCGGAAAACTCGCGACAAAAGAAAGGAAAGAACGAACGAATGAATACTACCGGCTCGAATAATAATAATAATAATAATAATAATCGCTATGGCCCGGATGGGTCGCGCCGCGGATGCGTAATCCGGCGTGATGCGGGTGCCTGAATAATCGTTTCCTTCCGCGGGCGGCATCTCTAATTGCTTTACATCGACTGTTACAGAGCCGCGGAGAAAATTATGTCCGCCGTGGGGAAAGCGGGACGAAGAAAATTATGGACGGGAAATGGGTGCGCGTTATATATATCGGGCGCGCGAAATTATAATTTCGAGACTTGGCGCGAGCCGATTCGTCGGATTGAGCATTCGCATAGCGGTATTACGCTCATGATTGATTCTCACCATCTCTCGCCGTTTTCCTCCCTCTCGTTTTCCGCATCCCGGCCGTTTCGCATCGCATCGTTTCATTCTCCCGCGCGTTGCTCATTCGGCGGAGCACAGCTGATCCCATAGTCGCGCGCCGGTTAATAATAACGCGATATCGCAGCTCGCAATTCTCCGCGCATTACGTTTGCCGAATGACTGCTTCTTTGTTTACCGTGCGCGAATGCAATTTTCTCGATTTGCGTCGCTCGCAGTTTATCCGCGCGAAAAGAGTATATGTGTATTTATCCTGCCTATCTGTCATTATATTCACGACTACGGAAGGTACCTTCGATTCCCATATGGTCCCTTTTATTTAACTTGCACGACACGTAATTCTATTTGCTTTCCTAATTGAATGATTTGCGAATTATATATAATCGAGAAATTTTACAATAATTGCAATGCAAATTATATTTGTACAATTATAATTTATTCTCTTCGAAATCACTTTCAATCCATGAATGAGATAATATATTTAATAGGAAATTTTTAATTATCCTTAATTGGTCTGTTTCGTATTAAATAATATATGGTAATATTTCGCGAGCAATATGTTTACATTATTTACACAAGCGCGATGCTTCTTCGTTCCCGCTTTGTATGACTAGATTCTATGCGTACTTCTCTCCCGCGAAACATCAAAATACACCTACGTTGCATCTCAACAGACGCATTCGCACGTTATTCTGCCCAAACAAACGTCAACGTGCTGTTTACATCGTACATGCAAATCGAAAGATCTCACAGCGACCTGCTAATGGCATAACTGTTACGACGAGATGCAATGCAAATGCAATTCCTTCCGTTTATGACAACATGCACCAATCGTGCCACAAAGTCGTTCGTTTCTTTAAGGGTGAAACATTTAGAAATCTTTATGCAAATCGTCAACATTTTGCTCCCTTATCTTTTAGACGTGTTTACAGCTGAAATTACGATACAAATAATTTTTTAATTTTGATAAAAATACGTGAGATCTAAAAAAAATATCTAAATATTCAGGTGTGTATGCAGAATTTCTCATTTCTTTTTTTTATATTGAAATCAGAATTTTTAATGCTGGGCTTATCTGCTGGTCTCCGCATTATACCCCGCGTTACGTAATTTTGAGCTAATGCTCGATAACGACATGACTCGACGAATAATGATCAATTTTGAAAGACCTTGCCGCGTTACGCCGAGCCGTTCGACATATAATTTACGATATAATGGAGATAACGCGCGAGAACAACGTGGGGCGCAAACACGAAAATCGAAATCTATGACGTTTCTGATATGTTCCGCTTCGTAGAAACTCGAGCTCGAACAAAATTACGGTGCAATGATGCACGCCGTTATTCTACAGCCTGATCGACTATGAATTATGTCATTTATTCGATTGATTATGCATGTTGCGTTCGTACAAAATGCACGTATACCATATCATTATCTATTACGTACACTGAAGGTAAATGAGACGAGCTTTCATGAATGCCTTAATATTATTAAATAAATATTTTTGTACGTGTGAGAGAGAGAGAAAGAAAATAGCTTAAAAAGTAGATAATAATTATCCGATAGCTAATATTGTCAAAATGTTAAATTTTGTAAAATTCAAACAATATTTGAATATTATATCCATTTTGACGAAAAATTTACTAACGCAACAAATGATATATATAGAAGAACAGCATTTTTATTATTAATTTTTTAATTGAAAAATAATCTTATTTAGTTATGTAAACAAACTATTAGTAGAAATATAACATGAAAAATATAACAAATTGTTTTCTTTTCTATGATAATTCTCTCGCGATGACAAGTAATGCGATTTGTTGAATTAGCTGAGATGTGAAATTTGTTCATAATTCTGATGAGAGTATAAAATTGTTTTTTGAATTTTGTGTTTTTCGCTCGATGTAATTATACTCGTGATGTATTAGGTCACCGAGATGTAAATTATATGTGCAGGCGCGCGCATGCAATTCCCGAGTTAACAATAATATCCGTGTGACGGATATGCAAATTTTCATTGTTTATGCGTGCATTCGCGATTTCATTATACATGTTCAAATTATTATTCGATTTTATCCATCCTCGACGCGGACGCGCAAGAGAAGAAGTATACTTTGAAATTTATCTAGTGGTGAAAATTGTATTTACAAACATGATTACAAAGCTAGCAGTAAGCAGAACATAATTTGCTTCAATCTCACTCACCGGATATATATCAATTGAAAATTGTTAGCGCGCTTCTTTGAATTTTGTTCCAACTCTTTTTTCTCTTTTTGCAATTCAATCGCAGTAAAATTGTTAATTAATTTATCATCCCTTGCAACTTACATAAACAGGAAGATGAGTCCGGCGCGCAACATCAACGAATTACTTATCCAATTTGCACAAGCGCAATATTCTCTTATATTCAAAGCAAAATTTATTATGCGCCTCGCGCTGTATTATGATTAACAACCACGGCAACTTGGATACGAATGCAGCTGCGAGAGGAGAGAACGTTGTACATCAAATCGCGTAAAAATACATTGCTCGGGCGGACGCAACAATGGAAACGAATGAAACGTATAAGTGTAGGTAATTTTCTTTGTGGCTCTCGAGAAAAAGTGACACAGTATATTAATCGTTGTTGAAAAATCGTCGTCCTGTCTGCATTCAGCGAGTTCACCGTAGTTCGTGGTTAGGGTGGCAAATGTAATTTTCCTCGTTACATGGCAAATGAGTTCCGTATATCGCAGTACGCTAAGCGCAGCGGGCATTACGACGATTACGTAATACGTGCAATTTTCGTGATATGTTACAGCACACATCAATCATGTGCGAAAGATCGCCGGGGTGGATCACGTCGGAATCGGAGCCGGATACGACGGGATCAATTTGTAAGTATAATTGTACATTTCAAATCATATATCGTTATATATACGTCAAAAATGAGATGGATATTAAAATCAAAGTTTCGAAAATACAAAAAGAGAAAGAATGGCAAACCAATTTTTTCATGTTCCATCAAGTGCCGTAATTAATGGAAGAAAATGATTAAAGTAATAAGATAATCGCAATATTCAAAACCGATCATACGATAGTAACTAATTTATAATGTCAAATAGCAATCGCACTAATACAAATATTTTTCTGTCAAATGGGAACGTGAATTCGTAAGGGTGTTTTCCCTCTACGTACTAGTTCCGTCGAGCTGATTGTAAATTAGTGCAAACGTAGGAAAGTTTTCGGTTACCTTTGGATTTAGGTCGCGGTGTAAATCAATACGTACAGCGCTACCGATCATTTGTGACTTTGTGAGACTCGGAGATAGTTAAAGTCTCCAAAATTTATGAGAAGAGAAGAGATTACTGGTTTCGATTTCGGATAGATATTCAGACTATTCGACTCCGATACATCTCGCTTATCCGAAAGTAAGATAGGAATGGAGGGAAAATAATGCGTACACATGAAAAATGTTTAGTCAAGATGACTTCATAAATATCGTTCCAAGTCTATTTATTTCTCCCGAACGTTGCGAGGAGAAGAAAATTATTGTACGGATGCATTTTTAAAGAATTCCATATATAAAATCGTTCTCGCGAGATACGCGATGCGGTATTCAGCCGTTTGTTACCGAACAACCGACATTATTTCCGTCCATTATTCCCGCCTTTGTTACACTTCTCACGCAGTCTGTTCGGTGCAGAAACAATTCGCAGAGTTCTTCTTTGCCGTGATAACTTGAGATAAAGGTACATGCACGAAGCGTGTTAAATAACTGTGAAAATCGAGTAAACACGCGCGCGCCCGCGTGACCAACTCTTTTTTTTGTTCGAAAAATACCGATCCCTTGAAGCACGAGCATCGCTGAAATCGCAGCCCCTACCCATTAATTTTCACGAAAAAATTGAGAGAGCATGAAAAAGCAGAAGAGAGAGAGAGGAGGAGAGAGATGTGAACACAGAAAAACAGCTCTAACCATAAGTAAATTGAGGGCGATAGAGAATGACTAAAAAGTTGTTGAGTTCCCGGGGATCCGCATAAAAAACACACGTGGTTGTGTCTGATGTATATGGTAGAGGATTGAAAAACAGCGTGGATGCATCGAAGCGTGATTTGCAGACCAAACGATAAAGAAGAAAAACGACGTAAAAGGCACACCGCTGATCGAACCGTCGCGATATACGGCTTTTCCCGTATTTTTGTACAGCGATAATATCGAATACAAATGTGGGGAAATCGGAAAAGTAAATATGTGCTAACGCAAATATAACGGTATTTACTAGTATAATTTATGAATAAACTTGAACTTAAGAACTATATATAAATTTAATTTCAATTTAAATCTAAAATGATAATTCGATACCCAATAAGAGAGGCATAACGTATAAAAATGAAAAAAAGTACGTGTCCTCATTTTAAATATATTTATTATATATATATATATGTATATGTATTTATTATGTGAGCTTCCATTTATGCTTTTCACGAGCAAATAAATTGAATCAAAGCGTGAAATTCAGAGAAAAACTGCAAAACAGGCAAACGAAGTTTAATAAACGAATATAAATTATTAATTACTGATGTATTGGAAAACATATATTCTACCCAAAATTTTATTTTACACAAATTATTTTTACTGTTTTCATATAAATATTCCATTACTGCGACTTTTTTAAATAAAAACATAGATATACTTGATATTAAATCGTGTTTTGAATTAACGATATTTTTACATATAAATATGTGTAAATTAATTTTTAATATTTATCGATAATTTTAGAGATAGAAGAATATTTTTAAAACACGGCATGCAACATTTATAATTATAATTAATTGCATTCAGTTAACAGAAATGGGAAACTAAATTTTATTAAACCAACTTTATTGGAAAGAAATGTTTAAATTTCACGTTATAAATATTTCCAATTTTTAAATCTTTGATTGATATTGTATATAGTCGTTTAAAATTTATCAACTTTAAATGCGAAACAATCCACACAACTCGATATTGTTTCATTTAAATTCAATTTATTTGCGGTAAGAATGCTGGACAAATCAAAACTTTATTAAAGTGGTTTCACATTCAATCATAGTAAATCAAAATTGATAATATGAATGCGTCAGCATCCGACACGATGCTACGTTGCATCTTTTATTGCCTTTATTGCGAAATCTACGTAAAGATTATTTTCGCGTTCATTCTTAAACGTGTCACGGTTTCCTCGCAAAGTCTAAGATCCTCGAATGCGACGGTTTCAAGAAGAACGATGCGAATAACAAGAACGTACTTAGATGGCTATACGAACGGCCGGAATCTCAAGAAAGATGTCGCATCGGAATGGAAACAATGCTTGTTTCCTCTACCCCATGTTTCCAGCTTTTCGCGCTACGAAAGAAAGGAAGTTTAATATCTGCCGTGGCAACCCGGAATTTAAAGCGTTACACCCGTCGTGATAGCAAAAAAAAAACTATTACCTTTTCGCGCGCATAACACATTCGCGCGTTTGATAGTTAAAAATTATACGATAAAAAGGCAAAATATAATGGCGTCGTGTATGGAAACTCGTAAGAGAAAAAAAAAGAGAAAAGCGCCATTCTTCCTTGTTTTAGTATTTTCTTTCCTTCAAACCTTCCGTAACGAGTTTACGTTGAAAATTGAAAATCCTGGGAACATTGATGATATATATATTTTCTAGCGAACACGTGAAAAGTAAAATGATCGATCGAATTTTTTAGGACGAAGCGCATTTTATCCGTCGACAGACTTTTATTCGTATTCGTGGCGAACCCGCCGCAAATAAATTCGATAACGTGCTTTCATTGCAGACAAAAACTGTTCTCTCGCAAGTATATTTAATTTTGAAGGTAGAACCACGCGTTATTTTTGGTCAGAACGATCACGTACGGCGAATCGTACGATGAAGCGTTCCGGCTAACACAATTCGTGGTTAAAATTCCAACGTGCTAATCGTAATAGCCGAAATAGCCGATACGAGCAGAGACCAATGAATAACTTCGTATAAAACTACTTTTTTTCTGGAAATATTCTCTGCCGACAGGCTGTAATATGAAATTTGCGTAAATTTGCATAATTTTTTCCCTTCATAATTCCCTGCATAATCTCTCTTCATTTATTACAAATATTTTCTATGAGTACAAAACGACGTAAAGGACATTTTTGTATTTTTTCAAAGAAGAAATAAAATCCTTAAAATCAGGCAAAGAAAGTCCACGGAGATATTCGGAGAAGGAAAAAAAAATGGTCAGCATAATTATAAACTAACAAAGTAAAGATATCGTAATGATTAAAGGTAATAATAATAAAACAATTCGAAATGGAGAGTTGCTGGTAATAAATAAATTGACACAGCAACTATTTGCCAAATTAATCAGCAATTTGTCCCGGAAACGAATCGCGTAGTCCCTCAGTTTCATGCACAGGCCATACCGGCCACTGCATTAGAAACAGTCGCGTTGAATCCGCACGACAGAAACGCCGCGTTCTTAATTGCACGTTAAATTAACCCCACCGGTTGACAGCGCGTGGTTAAAATTTCAACGAGCTAATCGCGGAAAGCATTTCACAGGGGAGCCCTCGATCCCATGCGTAACGCGGCTCATTGCCTTCACGTAGGAAATTGATCCGGAATTTATGAAAGCCGGAAGCACGATTGCTATTTATTCTTCAACGATTAATTCGTTTATTGTTACGCTCGTTGCATTTTTATCTCGATCGTTTCAATCCGCAAATCGTTTCGCCATGTCCATCGCTGCATATGCATAGTTGCAAATAATTCCGCACAGGGTAAAATAACGCAAGATCGAAATACGTAGCCAATAAATTGATATTTTATTTGAAAATCTCAATTGATTGACAATTTTAATTCGCTAATTTCAAAAATGTCAGCTTTTAAATCGAAGTCGATAAAAAAATTATGTTTCAGAAATGCTACGAAAATTATGTTCCGAACATAGATCAAAGTTTTACATTTATATTTCCGTTTAATAAAAAAAATTACTGGCACTGCCATAGAAAACAAAGAAAAATCATCTAAACTAGTGAGTGAGTCATTAAAATTTCATGGTTAATCGCACAAGATATTAGTTTCATTGGCTACGTATATGCGAACCGGATAGCGCACACGTGGCGCGAAAAGCAACACTAATATTCGTACGAGATGGGTTGGAAAAAGCTCGGAGGATATATTTAATTATTTCTAAAGGTAGAAAAAAGTGGGTCACGCGGAAATAGACGGCAGGACGTGCAGGAAGCGCGAAAACGAGGAGGTTAAAACTGGCAGGACGTGGCACCGGATAGTCCTGCCGGCCAATAAGCTTTTACGCTAGATTAAAATTCATACCGGGGCTTCTTCGTCGAGTTTCCAGACCGGTTATAGTAGCATCGTTTGGAGCGGTCGTTTATGTACGAGTGCAAAGAATTTAGAACCGTCTTACTACAGTTCTCGCATAGACGTCGCGTTAAAACAAAGACGGTATATCAAGTTTAAAGTTTTAGGAGGAAGTCTACACAGAGAGAAAGGAAGGATGATGAAAGACCTACATGTGCACAGTTTGAAACTGTGTTGAAGAAAAATGTAAAAAGATAGTTCTCGTAAACACAAAGAAAGAGAGAGAAGAAGACATTGAAAAGATTCTCCTCTTAAATTATAAATGATTGAGAATGAACGATCTTTGAGGAAAATAAATAAATAAAAAAAAAACAGATAATAAATTGTCATTCTTCGTTTATTTTAAAACAGAATTTATTTCAACTCGATTTATATGCAATGTGAAATTTTTGTAAAAAATTGAGTAATTGTTATCTGTTTCTTACTGAGAAAAATATGGCTTTGAATTCCCGAGAGATATTAATGAAATCATATAACACGATACACATACAGTGCTCGATATAAAAAGTTAATTGTTCTAGCTAAAGTCTTATCGTCACTTGACAACGTCACGTTCGCGAAAAAGGACAAAACGTCGATGGACACTTTCTCGGTTTTCTCTAGGGGAATCGAGATCCGCGTGTCGCTTCTTCCCGCGAAGCGATCCGGCGGAGCTTCGCGCTTTTCAGCCTCGCCCATAAATCACTGTCACTGGGTTTGAGCGAAACGTATTTTCCCGTGGAAACGGCATTTTTGAATTCGATTCGGTCGTACTGACGGGCAAATAGACGAGGTAGCACGAGAGCAAGACGAGGGAGCAAAAAGAGCCCGAGAAGGGGCGGATCGATGTCCGGTAACCGCGTTGTCGTTGCTCTCGATAGCGGATTTTTACAAGGTCCGCTTGCGTACGTATATTTTTATACCACGGAGATTTAGCCCGTCGGGTATCTCGCCACGGCGAGAAGTATTTGCGTGTGCGCGAGAACGCGAACACGAACGCTTTCCGCGTACACGGGTCGACTCAATCCTCGTCGACGTGGCAGACAGAATTGGGAATTTCGTGGATAACATTTTACGAATAACATTCGTGACCGTGATCAGCCAACAACTCTACAACAGTACTGCGGATTCTCGGTTCGACGGGCGACACCTGCGTCGAATAGTTTCGCGACAGGTCAATATTTTCGACAATCTCGCGCATCCCGGGATTTAATTATTTATCTCTGTAACTGTCGTTACACGAAATAGTCTTTATATACCCTATCGATTCGGCACGTCAAGTCGATTTATAGCAAGTAATTTAGCTTTTGTTTCAGCATCATCGATTTTATTCATTTTCGTGGACATTTTCTGTGAACGGACATAGTCTGATAATTAAAGAGCAAAATATTGTAAAAATATAACGGAATTCAATCCGTGTTAGATATATATTCTTTGAATATATAATATATTCCGAGTTGTTTTTCCAACCATCGTCGAAATAAATCATGTTCAATATCTTAAAAAGGTCTACACTGAAAAAAATTATTAAATTCGAATAAATATTTATTTCAATACACCCTTATAAATCATTTATTTGAAACTAATAATATTGATTTGATGTGAAAAATATATATTTGATATATAAGACAATCAGTTTCAAAATAAATGAATATTTATTTGTTTCAAATCAATGGAATTAAGTATTGGCAGTATTGAAATAAGTATTTATTAACTTAATAATTTTTTTTTTAGAGTGTGTAGATAAAATACTCTTAATCTGTGCTTCACAGAGTCCCGCAAAATTCATGTACCAATTCCAATTTCATATTAATTTCGCAGACATATTTAAAAAAAAATCTTCTAATTTTATATTTCATGTATTATATATATATATATATATTCTAATTCATCTATCATATTTTCACACAATATATATCCGACAAAAATGAAACATAATGGATTGTAAGCGTACAATGTACCCTCTCTTGAATTTCGCGCGCGTTTATCCCGCGTTTTCAGTCAGTTTATGATGATGGACACGCCCGATTTGGAAATTTCCGAGATTGGAATAACGGCCCTCTGCGGTCGGTCGATGTGCGTACAGTATACAATTGCATAACTGCCAGTTTCAGCCGGGGCACGACGCGCCGTGAATAAGTCTCTAACCGCTCTTGTTGGTCCATTGTCAGCGAACAACCTGTTCCCCTTTCTCCATCCCACCCTCGTCATCGGGTCTTGTACGAACTCTCGTTATGATGCCCCTAATGAGAGCGTCGAAATTCATTTTAAAGCCCTTTTATCGTCCGCGCCGCGATTCAACGTGTCTTCATGAGAAAGATATCGATAATGTTCGCGTAACGATTCCGAAGATAAATTCACGAAATTGTATAGACGATTGTGATTAAAGTGAATAAAGAGGATGGTATTTCAATTATTTTAATAAACTTCAATGAAATAGATAGATAATATTTTCGAATTTCAAAGAGATATGTAAATTTCTTCCTTGCTATGAAATTTAAATTGATCATTTTTTTAATTATCTCAGACAGCAGATAGTTTGCAAAATAATCGTGGAATGCTTGCATTTTTTTTTTTTTTTTTAATAAAGAAGATGGTAATATAAAAGTAAAATTTAAAGGACGATATATTTTTTAAACGATCTCACTTTTTAGTTAAAAAATAAAGAGAGAGACTTATAACTTTTTACGATTTTAATTCCAGAAATATTTTTACAAGGAATATTTTTTCATGCGAGATATATTCTTTTCTGCATTTTAGTATTAAATTGCCTCGAGAATTTCAGTGTAATAACACATTTCTACCCTAGATTTATGAGTATAAGGATCGCGTAAGGTAAAAGGAGTTGTTTTCTTGGCTTGCCTTTCTTAGCGGTAAAGTAAGTTCACCCACAGTCACCCGGTGTACTGGTAATTAAAGTAATGAAGGATAAACCGCTTGAAGTAACTCGTGTAATTTATCCGCGACTGCTTCCCAACTAGCTCATTATTGTACTTTGACCTTCTTCTGCGCGAATTCACTTTTCTTCTGCTCGATGCCTCGGTATGTACATTTCAATTTTTATAATCGTGATAGTCTGCAAATAATTGTTCTGGAACGAAACAGTCGAAGGCAGAGCATAACGCAACGAACGGTTGGAAGCAAAGATAATTCTCACATCGTGAAACGCGAGAATTTCGCCCGAGTACTTCGCAAAATAATTCAAATTAAACATTTGTTCGGGAGAAACGTATCCGAGAGAGAATATGGGAAAGATTTTGAATAAACAATATTTAATCAATAATAAACATCACAGAGTGGATTATTTCTATAGGATCTTTTAAAGAAGGCTCGATTGGCAAAAGTTGTCTCCGCGAAGAGTCACTATTTTCAATCACAATAAAAATATGATAAAAGCTGAATCATTAATCTCCTACAGATAAATATTAATGAAGTTTTTTTATTTTATACCACTCTCTTTCTCTCGCATGTATAATAGATGAGAGGTTTTTATAGAGAGAGACCACACGCATCAAGGTCATCTATACGCACTGAATAATGCAAAAATGCGAGTGAAAATAATTTAGCACACCTCAGTATGTATGTATGTACGTATAATAGATAGTAGAATCGCCGCCAAGAATTGTGCACGCAGTAAAATTAAGATAATACGGAAATACGCAAAGTACGAAGGTGGACCCCATAAAAGTTTCAAGCAGTTTTCTAATTTAAACTCCGAAAGCTTTCTGCTTCATTAAAGCCCTATCTTATCGAGCAGAAATATTCATGTAAATTGTGGTCTTAGGTGCACCGTACGTTCACAAGCTGGGGCGCTTTACAGAACGGACATTATTTCCATATCGACTTTTATGGGAGCGCAGCCCGACGACGAAAATTTATCGCGATGGATGCAGTATTTTAAAACAATATTTTCAGAGATGAAGGGGAAGAGAGACGAAATTATTTTCACCCCGTATCTTTCTATTAGCATTTGCGGCTATAAGTCACGGCTGGTTGACAAGTTACCGGTTATCATTTCACCGCCAGAAAATTTCTTCGTTTTTTTTTATAGCTCATATATTAATGATATAAAAATGGTCCAAGTTTTTGTGGATCCAATTTAATACTAATTAATTTATTACATCAAAATAAAAATTGTTAAGTATATCAGAACTTTGGTTTTATAAAACCATATAAATATTAAAAGTTTAATGTTAACAATGCGAATCTCGGGTGAATGATTAAATATTGTTAGAAATATGTGCTTCTCCTCCCTCTCCAAAAATCCCCCCGAATACATTTAATGTTCAAAGTTTTCTCAATTTTCACGCCTGGAAAGAAGACAACTCGATCGATTGCGATTTTATCTTAATTACGATCGCGTCGTAGATCCGCGAATCTCAATAAGATCTCATTACAATGAAGGATAAATCATCCTAAATTCTCTGCCTCAGGACGCCAACGGGTCTGGAGGATGTCAGCAAGTATCCGGAGCTCTTTGCGGAATTGCTAGCGCGTGGCTGGTCGGAGGGAGACATCCAGAAACTGGCTGGTCTGAACCTTATACGGGTGTTCAAGGCGGTGGAACAGGTAAATTACTCTTTCCAGAGTCTCGCGAAAAAGAGGAAAGAATAAGGGACCATTCTTTGTCGCGTATTCGGTTGATGAAAAAAAGGAGCGGACGCATGTCGAAGGTGAAAAAGTCGGTGTGACGTGACGTAAGGTAAGAGAATGAGAAAGAAGGAGAAAGGAGCGCTCGTTTCCGCCGCGAAATAACCGATGGTCTGGTTCGGGTTACCCGAATCGACCAATATCGGATTTAATAAAGCACACAAATCATGCATCCGGCGTGGCGCGCGTGGTGCATCGTCAGATGAAAGAGAGAGAGAACTCGGTCGAGCGGATCGCGATTTTTGCTCCCTTGGAGCCCTGCCAGTCGTAGAACCAGCTGGCAGGATCTACTAACCTATCCAATGGTGTGTGCTTTCCCTTCTCTTTCTTTCTTTCTCTCCTGCAAGCGCCGCACACGTGTATTGTGTGTGTATATATATATATAGCCACGGCTACACATGACGTGTATTAAACGGACCTGAAGTATCGTTCAACATCGCTCAACACACTGACGCTTTATAATATTTCGCGAAAGATAAGCTTGAACGTTCAAGCGAGAGTCGTTGCATCTGGAGCCCTTTTGCTCGTCGACGCTTTAATTAAAATTTAACGCTCGAACCACGTTTTCTAGCAAAGTTACGAGAATCGTTCGTATTTTCGGTTTAACCAAACTAAATGATGAAAGTAAGCAAATAGAGAGATCAAATCAAGGTACTCAAATAGAATAATCAAAGAAATTGAAATATTTGATAAAATTAATCTTTTCTCTATCTAGTTTTTGGTAGAAAAAAATAACAACAGCTATCGATACAAATGCGAGGAATCAAAGCTGCAACTTGAAGGATTAAAAATCATGTAATTGGTCGAATCTCTTCTGTTTGCGTTCGCGTTTATCTCATTATAGCATTGACAAAACTCACTAATGAAAACGTATCGTTAAAATTCACCCTGCCATTCTCTAATGTGTTTAACTGTGTAAATGAAATTAAATTAAATTTTCTCTAATTGAATTCTACTTGTACATTTTCGACCACTCGATTAATGTCCCGTATATTTCAACATTAAACGCCCGGTTTTGCAAAGTGCAGTCGAATGCAGATCGTCCTACGAGAATTTCGTCGCGCCTGAAAATGTTTCAGTCCAGATATTACCCGGTGGTACACGCCCCGACAGGAATGATGTGAGAAATTATGTGTGCCGGATGTTCCGGATGTTTGAGGACACTCAGGATGGCCGTTGTTGAAATTACTGTGATAATTTAATTGCGGTACGGTGTGGTCAACGGAACCCGCGGTTATTTGTCCGGCAAGAGTCATTTATTATATTTAGAGAAGAATGTGTATTACACGTTCGGATTGTAACATAATAAACGCGCTGCGGTAAATTACGCGTGAAAGTGTGAATTTCGTATTCGCCTAACAATTTTCGAGGTTGTCGGCTTCCCGTAAGAACAAAGATTCGAGCGCCGACGAATTAAAATTATGCTCTGAATTCTTTGGGGGATGATTTATCGCGCAAAAAAATCGCGCTCGTGACTTCAAGGGATGGAGGCGTCGCGCGAAAAAATCGCGAAATCCGCACAATACGAAACCTAATGTTACGCGTTATAAAAAAAATCGTGGTCTTTCAAAATTATTTTAAATTTAATTCGATGCAATTTTCCAGATGTGAAAAAAATTATTTGATTATCGGAATATGAAAATGTGACTTACTTTATTCACGCGGGGAGGAATTTTAATTTGTAGCACGTGAAAATTTCACACTGAAAAAATGACTAAATTAATAAATATTTATTTCAATACTGCCTAATAAATCATTTATTTGAAACAAATAAATATTTATTCGTTTTAAAAAGAATTTTCTTATATCGAATAAATATTTTTCCCATTAAATCAATATTATTAGTTTCAAATAAATACTTTATTTAGCAGTATTGAAATAAATACTTATTCGAATTCAATAAATTTTTTTCTCGGTGACACGTTTATAAATCGAGCTTCTTTTAACCGAGAGACTGCAAGTTACCATTAATTCTCAATGTGTAAATTCGCGGAGAAATCGTCGTGTACCTTCTTACCTGAAACACATACACACGTGCACACGACGCAAAACGCACGCACAAAACACACGCACACGTATACAATCATACATTTACTTGCTCTTCGCTTCTCGCTCGTCGCAATAAAGTCGGCGAGGTTCAGCGAAGGGCAAATCCTTTGAGCAATTTCGACTCATCTCATCGCCGTTTTCCACCGTCGACGATGGCGGTCCGGGTTTCACGGCAGGCGAGAAACGTCGTAATTGCTGAAATAATGGCGATGCCTACGGCGCGATGTGGTGAACAAAATGATGGCGATTACGTTACCTTGAAATTCAATTTCGCTATTGTTCTTCGTATACGGGGAACGGAATTCGTAGGAACTTTGATACTGTTTCGTAAGACCGCGCGACGCCTCCGCCGAATGCTCCCTGCAAGAAGTCGTCCGGAAACAGCGGTGGAAATTTCTCGGGCGTAATGCAATCAGTGTCGTACACACTCGCATTATGTAAATCACCATGCCATTTCGAAACAGGCTAATGGCGAACAAAGCTCTTTTCTACAGTTTCTCTTCTCTGTCTAATTTTCTAAGATAAATTATAATTATAACATAATTATAATATCAATCATATTTAAATTATTAATTATAATTATAAGAACTGATTCTTCAGCTTAAAAAGGCATTTGAAAAATGTTGCAATACAAATTTCTAAAGTAAATATCGAAACACGTAATATATATCGACAAATGTGATGCGCTATCGTTCATAAAAGTATCTGTTTTCGAGAAATACAAAACCACAATGTAGATTATAGCATATATCATGTAATATAAATATACATTATATATCTTTTTCATATAAAGCATATAAATATATTATATATAGTTACATGATAATTTTTATTTTAATTTTGTTTTTTGAAAATGGATATTTTTAACTACGATAATCATATTTGTCAATATATATTTTATGTGTTTTGATACTTTACGGTCTGTAAAATTATAAGCGAGGTAAAATGCGAATGAATGAGAAAAAACTTTGGTAAAATATTTATATATTATATCATAATATAATCTTTCATGTTTTCATATTAAAGTTTAGATATTAAATACAAAAAATATATGTAGTTCAACATATGTAGTTTAAAAAAAGTTTTAATTTTAAGAAGAGAAATTGATAGTCTTTAACATGTAATTAAATTCAGGTAGGAAATAAACTAACAAGACTGCGTCTTTGCATTTATGAGCAAAACACTTCAATGTTCATTAATATCTCAATCTCACATTTTGCATAATGTATATTCTCGTTCGTGAAAATGTCGTTTAAAGACATACAGGTTCTATTACACAATCATATCATATATATATAATTTTTCATGCAAATATGAAACTTAAAATCAAAATTCTACAATTAAAAAACTTACAGAATTATATAACAAATGTAATTTTTTAGAAGGGATTTTTTTATATGCAACAATCAATTTTAGAAAGTGTGAACAGAGGAGAGACTGTCCATGCATTTATAAGGGAAACCTTTCAACGTCCATTAGCGCTTAAAGTTTCAGTCAGTAGTTTCTTCGAGCATATACATGTCTAGAAGAAAAAAAGTTCAATTTTAGAGCAGAATATATGCGAAGTAGTTTACGAAGAGAAAGCTATTAAACTCCTGCGAGACGTTTATATCGTAAATACCGTAACATTACATACACAGCGCGAATGCGACAATAAAAGTGGATTTGATTAGACTTGTCGACGTCCTCCTATATCGTCACTATTTTTCTCTGTTCTCGTTTAATTTAAAATCCAAACATGGACAGCAAAATGAAGCTTTATACTTATATATAGTAGTATTAAGAAAAGTTTACAAAAGTTTGTAAATACCTAAAACAACATGTAATATGTCTAGTTTTTCTAAACTATTTCTCTTGATTATATGTATATCTTACGTGAACATAACGTAAAATATAAAATTAATAATATAAAAAATTTAATATAATAACTGCAAGTTTCATCTCGAATGCTATAATAAAATTAGCTTTAATTTCTCTTAAAATCGCGTTTCTTAATTTTGAATTACGCGCATATATTCTTCAATTCTCTTTGATGCAGTATTGATTCCTCGCTGCGCAGGTCAACCAATGACCGAAAAATTGCAGCTGCGTTTCCATGATAAATATTTGCGATAGCGTGCTATCTTGCTGCAGCGCTCTGTTTAATTGAAAAAAACTACAGGGTAGATTTTAGGCGAGAATGAAATTTACGCTGCGCTGCTCTAATATGTAATCCGCCAAAATTGACCCGGATTGCGGAGAGAGCGTTTTCTTATTTTATGAAAACGAAATAAATTTTACAAAGCGTGGAGAAAAGCGCATCCAGTATTTCCAAATCAATAAAAGCCCTTTATATTCTGGCGTTGCACCGAATTATTTTTGTACGAATCAGAGAAATACTTGCTCTCTCTCTCTTTTTGCGTTATAAAAAAAGTTTTACTCCGTGAAGCGCCAGAAAAAAAGCGTAGAAAAGATTTTAAATTCAATGACGTTTTTTTATATCTCTTGCCTCTCTCGCGAAACATTCGTTCCTTTTATTCGAATGTCACAAACGCAACATTATCAATCTTCGTATCTGTTTAATTAGAACGTATTATACATTTATTCACAATATTATTAAACTTCATAAAATTATAACAAATCCTGAATTAGCTGAAGAAGATAAAGTATAGCAAATATCAAATTAAAAGAAAAGCTCAAAACTTTTTTTTTTTTTTTTTATCTATATCATCATCAATCTCGTTAATCGTATAAATCCACGTATAAAATTGATGTCGACATATATGTATATAGAAAATTAAAATATGTTAATTTCTCTTCGTGAGATTAACGCTTTTAATTTACTACATATATATATTACATATGTACATATAATTACACATATATATGACTTGTGCGACCGACCATCGTATATCTCGCGGCGATTTTTCGTCATCACGCGGAGAGAAGCGGCGCGTCGCGAACATAGCCGATGCGTTCGTCGAAAGCTTCGTTTTCGAGCAAAGCCCCCGTGGGAGGTTAATGGGCTTCACCGAAAATTGATGGGCACCGTGCATGTGCTCGTGTGAAATACGCGCGAACCGCGCGCGATCTTTTTTCTCCCTCGCTCGCGCGCACCCTCGTCTTTGCCTTTCATCGTAGCCCATCCCGGGGTGGGCACCTTTTTATCTATCTCCCCGCACCCTGGCGATTTTTCCCGAGAACACATTTGCGACGTGCGGCAAGGTCTTCCATCTTCGCCGCGCCTTCGGAAGCTCGGCGCGCGACGTCAAAATTCATCGGCTTTTTTCCACCGGCTCTACTGGAATGCAACGAAAGAAAAATGGGGAGAACTGGCTTCCAAGCACGCGATGAACGCTTTGTAAACATATCGATTCGCTCACTGTTATACGTATATATGTTTGTGTGTGAGCAAATTTAATCTCCTTAATATCTAACCGCTATCGAAATTCTCCATAATTCCTAATCCAGAAGTATTGTCGTGATCATGAAATTATTGATCCATTTACGGCGAATTCATAGATGCATACGCGGATTACAGTAAGTGATCGACTACTGTAAATCGTGATTGGTAGCATTGTTCCACGTGAGCACACGATCGACGTCAACGATGTTAGTAGCCGTGTATTAAAGGGCTAAAACGTATAAATCACCGTAAGCTAAGCTTTAACAGTCAATAAATCACATTTACTACATCGTAGCATTCTCTGTGTGTGCGCAGATTCGCGATAACCTGGCCTCGGAGGGTATGGAGCCGCTGGAGGAGGAGATCCCGCACGAGGACATAATCGGTCGCGATTACTGCCGTTATAACATAAAACGTCTGATGGCGCCTTAAGCTGTCAGAATCCTCTCGGCCAATAAGGCAAATGATCGAATGATCGAAGAACAACGTCGGAAACAAAGAGGAAAAAGAGGACGAAAAATAGAAAGAGAGAGAGAGAGAAGAAGGAAACACTCACTGCCCCAGGAGGGAAAAATAAAATTCACCCTTTACATCTTTACCCTCCACTTCCCCTTCAATTTTGCGATCTCCCAAGGACGATATCTACTGCACAAACATGTATGCACACTCTTCTCTCTCTCTCTCTCTCTTTCAATTCTTTCGATCCTGCTCGACGTTACCAAGATTCTCATCTTTGTACGTAAGTAGGTAGATAAACTCGATTTCCGCCAGAAATCTCAGATCCGTGAGATGCGAGTGTTCGCGAAAGATATCGAGACGGCCAGTGAAACGTTTAGTACCGTGACTGAAGGCATCAAGCCGCGAAGAAGAATTGCAATTAGATCAATCAAACACATTGTTATTTCTTTATAGATAAACGAAGATCTAACTTGCAAGTTTTACTTTTGTTTCTTAGCTTCTATCGGTCGATCTCTGTTTCGCGCGTTTCTAAAAATATATTGTATCCTATATGAGAATTTTTAATATATATTTATATTTATATTTGTTGTATGTAATTTAGATTATATTATATACAATCTTTTATATTATATATTATCTCTCTCTCTGATAATATATTTATCAGTAATAAACACTAAATTATTACTGAATTATTTATTAATAAATTTCAACAACTAGCTAGAGACATTAAGTAAAAAAAAAAACCTGCAATTGGGATTGATTAATTACGGCTAGTTGTTCTTGTATATATGCATAGAGATTAATTAAGATTTAATTTAAAAGTTTTAATTCGATCTACATCAATCGCCACTTGTTTCACATCTGAAACAATTCTCATCACATTTATTATCCGTATCCAGCCTAATCGATAATAGCAATAATAACATTGTAGTGTATTAATGGAGCGATGGTCCATTAATTTGAAACTAGCACGAGTGCTGCTATTGTAATGCTATTGATTACTCGAACGAGCTATTGGCGAGCTATTGTACAATTTAATTACTTACTGTAGAAGCAAAATCAAATATATGCTATGTGTAATGAAATACACGTGGAATTACACAATGTAACTGGCTTAATAATATGATATATGGAACTTACGTAACCCGCGAGTTCCATATATAATTCAAAGTAGAATTTTCATACGTCGCAATTCGCTCATTTATTTTAATTTTCTTAATTACTCGTCTATTTTAATTGTAAAATTGATTTTGAGAAATTTACTTGAAAAATAACGCACATTTTTTCGCAATCAAAATTAAACTTGGGATAAATCTTAATATATAAGGAAGTACAATTTTGTAAAATAATGAAATACTACTATGGCTCCCTAATTATAGCGTTACGGTACTGATACGTACACTCGTCATTGGGATGATTGAATAAGAAAGCATGCTTCGTTGATAAAAGAGCTGACTGTTAGTTAAAGTGTCAATGCAATTGGAAGACGATGAAAAACGTAAATCGGGAGATGTCGAAATTGACGCAACAACGAGGCGGAAACACGCACCTTTATCACTGCGATACGAAGACCAACGCGTTTGTATAAATGTTTAACAATTTAGCCACGGGCATACACTTGATGTTAAAATTTGTACTCAGCGATTTCCTCGTCGAAGCCGGAACCAAAAAAAAAACTGTCTTAGTCAATAATTTATGTAATACATCATGGATCGATTGTACGCGCGACAAAACGAACGATTCGTATATGAATATCGAACGATTGTTGAGAGTATAAAATTGTGAACAAGAGAGAAAGAGAGAGAATGACGCGACATGCGTGTGTGTGTGTGTGTGTGTGCGCGAATGACAACTTGTACATATGGTACCTGAAGTCGAAAAACATATTACTCCTCTCAACCACGTCAAGCCAGCCATGTCGGATCGAAGAACCAGGTCACCGAGTATTCTCGATACTTTTTAATCTAGACGCAAAAGCGTCGCACACGAAGTCGCATCAACGGATTTAAGCTAAAAGTTTACGTATCTCGATTGTCGAGCGGTGCCCTTTCTCTTGCGGGTGTTTTTTTTTTTTTTTATTTTATTTTAAAACTTCTCTTTTAACCCCCGCCGACCACGATTCCAGATGGTGGCTTGACCAATCATGATGTCCGAGGACGCTACGAATGAGGCTAAATCGCGAAGTAACTCTCTCTAGTAGCGTCGACCAAATCGACGAGAAATACATTGCTCGATACTATAAGTATACTACAAGTATACTATTTCCTACGATTTTGCACGATCGAAGCTGATATGCCGATAAGTATTCGTCGGCATACATATGTCGAATTGAACAATGAACTTTTTAATTATATACCATGGTTACCGCGCGCCGTCACATACGATTCTGAATCGCAAGATATTTTGTCTCACGCGTCCTCGCGTGAATTGTTTTGCGGCAAAATTTTGTCACAGCGACCAGCTCGGTGATTATATATGCATTCAAAGTCTCGAATGCACAATTTTCTGCGTGCCATAACAATATGGCGCGTTAATTTGCAACTGCGTGGCATAAATTTTATTTCAACACGCAAATTGTTCAAAAAATACAAATAAAAAATAAAAAAATGTCAGAAACGCACATATCCGCAGATTTTTTTAATCCGAATAAAAAAACAGAAATTTATAATTACGTTTTTTATCAGGAAATAATACGTTTCACGAAAGATACCTAAATGTGTGAAAATGTGTGAACTGCCAGATTTCATTTATAGCAATACGATACAATCGAGAATTAACCGAGCCGATCTCTTACGGAATCTCGTTCGATTTAATGACCATTCTCGTGCGAACAGGATAGAATCGATGAAACGCGAGCCTCGTAACTAATATCTTATAAGGTTTCGAAAGTTATACTGGTCTATCTAAAATAAATCTACGGCAGATCGAACGAAAGCCGTTGTTGCGAAAGCGACCGAGTTCTCATTTATTTCGGCCCTTCCCCGACATCTCGGTAAGTAGCAATATCACATTTAACAAACTAAATTATTAAAGATCTGCAGCGCGCTGGCAGGGCGGATTATTGACTTTTAGGGAAAATTGACTCAGATTAGAACGTTTTGAGAGATTAATCATACAAAAAACAAAAACTTGCAATATTTGTATCACAATAAATTCATATTTATATTACATATTTCACAAAACTGTTGCCTAGTCAAAAAATAAAAATACTATTAATATTATTTATATTTATAATCATTTGTTATTCTATACATATTTGAAGAAAAAATCTGAGAGAAAAAATCTTTCAACGAATTTCAATTTTACATAAGAGAGTAATTTATGTTTTTTCCGTAGAAAAAACAAAAAAGTCGACCACCAACCATAGATGCACGTGCGAATGCACAGTCATCAAGCGAAAACGAGAAAGAAATTGAAAAAGAGAGCTGGAACGTCGTATGTCCGTAGATGAACGGACGGCTTTTAAAAGATTAATTAATTTCCCGGCTATTCGCGGAACCCTAACGAGCTCGTTAAAAAGTTTCAACACGTTTAGACCCGGATTCGGTCATGGAAAAACCATTTAAGCTTCTTTCCTTCATCGAATTGTGAAGCTGAATGCGCGGCCGATTTCTTCGCGTATCCCACGACCACGTCTCGGAACCGACCGCTTTTTCCCCCATCTTCCAATGTCTACCTTGCACCTTTATGATCCTTCTCTCATCCTATTTCAACCCTCTCCTTTCTCTCAGCATTCGCACTATTCGCAGACGGTTCCCATCACTTCGGTTGCAGCCTTCAGCTTTTTCTCAGCTGTCATTTGGCTGACACTCCGCCGCAGAGGCAGAGAGAAGACACGAACGGGAGTAAGAAAGGGAATAAAAAGGAGAGGACTAAACTAGCCGCGAATAAAGGAACGTGAGAAAGGTGGCGGAAACGAGGGTCTCCGGTGGTGGCGAGCACCAACCTCCGAGTGAGAGAAGCACTCTTTGTTTCGCCTCCCGGCGAGATATCGGCTAAGTTTACTGTGGAAACTCGACCTATAAATTTCATCCCTTAATACGCGTGGCTCGGGATGTATAATATGAAACCGGCGAGTTATACCTCGCGGCCGTTTTAAGAAACGCCTCACGGCGTTATTCACCCGGCCCGCTCGCCTTTCTCGGGTGGAATTTGTTGGATTTGCAAAAAGTTCGCGGACGATATTCCTGAGTGCTCTGCAAAGTGAACGCCAACCGCGAAGTAAAAAGCTGTCTTAAAGTTAGAAAAATTCTCTAGCCACATCCTGTGTACAGAAATGGAGAGAGAGAGAGAGAGAGAAAGAGAAAAAGAGAGAAAATACAATAGAAAATGCATTATTTCATTTGCACACTTAAGTTATCGCACTTAACAGAAATTTTATAATGGCGTAAAAAAATTTGTTTTACTATAGTTCAGTGTGTATAATTTAATAAATATTGTTTCACTTTTAAAAAAGTAGTTATACTCAGAAATAATTATCTAAAATATGTACATGTATAATGATTTGTATAGGATAAAATAATTCTATTGTTCAACTAATAAATTTTCTACAGATAATAAAGAATTATTATTTATATAATAAATGATTCAAAAAAAGCTTTCAAACAGAAAATAAATATTTAAATAATTGTTCAAATAAAAATAACGCGGCACTAAATTATTCGAATAATTCTATTTACTCAAATCTCTTGAAATAGTTATACTTAAGAAACAAATCATATCTTTCGCATTACTTTAATGGAAAACGTAAACTTATTATATAACAGAATTACTATATCGATACGACTCGTTATACAACAGTTTGACTGGTTAACCAATGCGCTCAGTTTGAAACAGTTAAGTGCACAGAGAGCGCCTAAGGTGATTTAAGATCAGCCAAGTCCTACTAAAGTGGATCAAGTATACCCTCTCCGAAATTTCGGACTACGAGCGATACAAATATGAATCCTGAATAGTCTCTGCAATGCCTCGAGGTGGTATCGAGAGATACCGGCGAATTCATCCGCTTTGCGAGGCGAGGCTGTAGAACTAATGCCGCATTTGTACGAAATTTGACCAACATATAGTTCGAAATTTGACCAACGGCTCGGGATTCGGCTTATATGATCAAGAATCGTATCTCATCGCGGTGGAAGCCAGGTTTATGATTCGGTCAATCGTAAACCTTGATTACTCGTAAACCTTGTCAAGAACCTTCGGTCTCATGGGTTAAACAACCGTTGGTTATCACGGAGCAATAAGATGTAGAGATCAACTCGCTAGAAACCAAACTCGTGAATATTATATCGCAACGCGATTGAATCAGCGCAAGTTTTCTCGACTTGATCTCGTTCGATTTATTGGAAAATTTGTAAGTGATTGTCCTATAAGAAAAACACATTCCATTCCTCAAGGGTGTATCGGGCGGATATATAATTCAACACGTGTTAGTGGAAAATTTTTTGCTAGTATCTAGATTAAATCATAGATCGTACATAAAAAGAAAAAACAATAATTTAAAAATTAAGACCTCTTTTATATAAAGCTAATAGCTTTTCGGATAATAATCTGTAAAAATGTTAAATAAAGCATAATTGTTCCTGCTTAAATTTCATGAATGAAAAATTAATTTTAAATTTTGCGAGAGAAAAGTTACGAAATTTAACGTCAAATTTCATGAAATGTGCTGGAAGTAGATCGTTTAATTATTCAACGCGATCTTTGATATTCGCGAAAGATGAAACATGTGATATCCATATATGTTACCGCTTTATTTTAGCTATTCAGCAGCTACAAAAGAAGAGATATCCTCGTAAAAAGCTTCGTAAATAATGAGAGAAAAATAAAACTTCTCTCTTTTTTCCTCTGTCACTATAAACGTGCATACTTTATGTCGACATATATATATTTCATATATTAAGTAATTATGAGTGTATTTTCAATGTAGATATTTATGAGCGATATTTGCAGCTTTGAATAGCGCAAGACAAAAAATATCCGTATAATAATAGCATGTATAATCTCGTTTATTTATAAATGATTAAAATGGTTTATCTTCATTAGTATTTGAATCAAATAAACTCGGTTTAAAAATTAAATCTTCAATGAGACAATTGACATTTTGATATATTTCAGAGAAAATAAATCTTTTATGAAGATAAAACATATGTCGATTCTTTCGACGTTCAAGCCCGTATCAGACTACGGATTAGGATTGAGATTAGATTGAAATTTCACCAATCAGAGCAAAGTTTATAAAATCTCGATTTTAATCCATAGTCTGATACGGGCTTAAGAAATGGTCCACCTTAAAATCAAATTTTCTTAAGATAGAATCAATATATCTCACCCATGTCTAATCAATGCTAAACATAAAAATTTATTATTATCTAAAAATATATTATAAAAATATATTATAAATTCTTTGATATTTTTTTTCATTCATGAATAAAAATTGCATCAATATTAACGCTTTCACAAGAAATAAATTATTTTGCAAGCTCTTTCAATTTTGTAAATATATGTAAAAAATAATTAAATTTTATCAAGCGCATAAATATTCAATTTCTATATATCACGTTGTACGCGATATCTTTAAAACATGAAATATCATAGATTGACTATCAAGATCTGCTTACATGTAATACTATTTGGAATAATAGCAGCGATGGTGATGATATACCGAGAGGTAATATCGCCTTGAATAAATGAAGGGAAAAAAGTAAGACAGGTAAGACGCGAGAATGGAATTACTTGTCCTTTCTCAGCTCACGTTCTTTGGGCTTTGCATGTCGCTCATCTCGCACAAAATAGCTTTCATTTATTTATTTTTCTCTTCGTCACTTTATCGATTATACGTCGACCGCGATCTCTTTAATAAAACTTATAAGCAATAATTTAAACATTCTAGTTCTAACGTTTTAAGAATATATCACATATTTAAAGCCAATTTTTATTTCACAATATATGTTTCCAATAAATTATTTGTGTAATAAATTCTGAAATCAAAATTTCATTCAAAAGTTTATTTGAAATTATTATAATTAGAAAATATATTTATTATCTCTCTTAAAATTTTAATTTAAAAAAGTCTTTTTTCAATTCTATGATATACCTACAAATTATTGATGATCCGACATTTTCGCGTCAAGAAAATAATCTCAAATTCATCAGAGAATCAAAATTATAATTGCAAGTTGTAAGACACGCTATAAATGCAAAGTGCAACGAACTTTTTCGCGACTTTTTACTATGTTGTGCGATCGCAGAAAAAAACGAAAGCCGGTTAAAAACATTTTTGCGAGCACGGCTATCGGAATAATAAATTTCAAGCGACACGAGAACCAGGGAGCGGAGACCAGAAGTATTTCCTCGCTCCGTTAAATAGCCATATTTTTTCTCCTTATTTCCGCGTCCCCAAACGTAGAGTCATCAGTTTTTTTCAACACTACAATGCTACACTTTATGGACTCTACAGTCGACACACCTGTCCGTCCATCGCGCGTTTTCCGCAACAACGGAATTAAATGTTCGCGGTTCATGCGCGGTTGAGGCGCGAAATAGCGTATATCGTTATCGTTATCGAATGCAAGTCACGCGTGCATGTGCAGATGTGTGCACATGCGCTACTAAATTTTTACGATCCATGCAAGTGCCTCGCGAAAATCTGTAAGAGAGGTCGAATGAGCATCGAATGTAATCTGCTGGAAATAACGTGAAAAATACGAGGCAATTATTATAGCAATTATTCACGTAAAAAAAGTTACTTCAATTTGTATTAATTAACTCTGCATATTTACTAATAAAATGTACATATACATATAGCTAATTGTATTTCGTAATTTATATATTTAATGCTGTTGGATCAAATTTTTCTCTCGAAATATGTTTTTAATTATAAAAAAATATTTTAAAATTATCTTTCATAAAAATTTTAATGCAATGAATATTGCTAATGTGTTACGTGTTTCATTAATATTATTTGATATATTTACTGAACAGAATTGATTCGTATAATAAACTCTTATACGAAAAGTTGGTTATTTCGAATTACCGTCTAAAATATATCACCTTCGGAGACAAAGGCCGTCACGTTGGAAAGTGTATTATACACTGCGCAGCATGCTTAATAACAATGCGAACCCACTCGGTTCTTTACTCGGTACTTTAGTACAATTTGATATTTACGAGGCAATATTTCAACTTACACTCCGCTTAACACGCTGATTTATTTCGCTTATGGCGAGAAAAAGGAGATGCATTTTCTTTTTTTATCATTTTATATACCCTAGCAAGATTTTCCTATGAAGCAATGTTCGCGTGTGAAAGAAATTTAACCAAAGCGATATTCCCTTTTTAATAAAAAAAAAAAAAAACATAGTTTGATCCTATGTGCATTATGATAAAGTGATAATTTTTATAGACGATATATTTGAACAAAAAAAATTGTCTATTCAACCTATACGCATCAATATAATCATCACATTTTTCGCGTTATCTGTTATTTTGTTATTATTTTGTTATCGTGTTATTTCGTTCGTATCAATACCAGCTTTTGAAAACAGGAAATCAAATCTCGCACAAATACATCACTTCAAAATATTTTCAGCAATAGCGACATAAAGCTAAATATTTGAATAAATCGATCTGATACTCACGCATATCACTCTTCCATACATTGTCAAGTGATAAAAAAAACAATAATCCACTCAAGAATAAAAAAAAATGTCATTAAATTTTAACACTGTCAATATAAAGTTAAATGCAGAAAATTAAATTTAAATATTTTAATAAATCTGTTTGATATTCACGCTTATCACGCCAAGTGGTCAAAAAACAGTAATTCTCATTTGAGAATAAAATGTCATTAAATTATTGTATCAAATTATAAACTCTTATTCATGACATTAAATTCAATCAATATCACCTTATATAACATTACTATGATCATAAATCATTATTACACATTAAACTCATAAATATTGTTCGAGCTGTTTAAAGCTCAAAGCCAAATTGTGTAACAAAATTCGTTTGAAATTTCTGAACGCTATCGCGATAACAACAATATTGGATCTATCAATTTTTCTTCTTTTCAACAAGCTACCGAATGATACAGATTGAATGCAAGAGCTGATATGCATCTGTGCATTGCAATCTATGCCAATGGCAGCAGCAAAGATTTCATGGCCCAACATATTTCATGTCAAAATATGCAAATTTTCATCGCGCAAAAGCGCATCGCGAAATCGCGGTATCTAAAATTCGAAACAACGTCGACGGATATACGTTTCTTGTACGAGATCTAAAAAAAATCGCATTTTTATTCGATCGGAAATTCTTGCGTGGCAGAAATGCTGCATTGTCAAGCAAGAAAATTAAAAAAAATTTTAACGTTTCTACATTGGAAAAATTTGTTAACTTGACCGTTCAACTAAATTTTGTTAATTGAACATATATTAGTATTTAAGTAAAATATACGTTTTGTTATATTTAATGTGTTATATTTAATTAAAATATTTCTGTTTTTAATTAATAAAATAATATTTAATTAAATTTATTTATATTATTTATAAATATTATTTTATTAATTAAAAACAGTCAAGTTAACAATTTTTTCAGTGTATGATGTTTTCTTATATAAAAATCAGTGTAAAAATAGGGAACAATAAATGTCAATAAGAGAATAATTTTAATCGAAAAATATCGGTTTTATTCGATAATTAGACTCTTCCGTGCACACATATACGAATTAACTTTTGTTATGGCGCTGATTTGTACAAAATGATAATTTCTCACAGTACAAGAATACCGTGTATCAGTACAGTTTAAACAAATTGGCAAACAGTTAACGAGAAGCTCCCGCAACGACGCTCTTTAAACAGACAATACTGAATAGACTTTGTATGATACACAACGATTGTTTTTTTTTCCTTCGAGGCGTACAATAACAGCGATATATCTATACGTTCTTACACCGCAACAATCGTACAATGAGGGAGGTATATTTCAAGCGTGAGGCCGTAGATAATCGACCGTTCAATGTCCTTAATCAACAAGCATAAAAAATATGTGTCAACGAGTCACGACGATAACAAAACGTACGTACATAAAAAAAGTAACACATGAGGTAACGAGGTAATCGAAAACGATTCCACCTTTCGTGAGACAATCGAGAGAAAAATAGCAGGCAGAATTCCTTTAGTCTAGTGAAAACGAAAAAATCTCGAAAAAAACCGAAGTATCGACTACATTCGCAATTTCTTTAAGAGATCGAATAGGAGAATAGGACAGTAAAGAGAAAATTTCAAATTACAAGCCAATTATTCCTTATTGCCTCGAAGAATCGTGAAAGAGAAAGAGAAAGGAAGAGAAGACGGAAAATAAGCTCGACTACGCGGGAGGGAGATATTTCGACAGAAGTAACAACATAAACTGCTGGACGTCACTTCCTCCTTGCCTCCTTGCCTCAGCTTAGTTGCTGCCGGACTGTTCGCGTTTCATCGAGCCGAATTCCTCCAACATCGCCTGTAGTCCTTCGGGGACTTGTCCGGAGTCCAATTCTTGCGTCCACTGACGATACTGCAGAAAGATAACAAATGGTGATGTGTAAAAGTAACGTATAAGCTCCATTTCAGTCGAATCTCATTCGATGTACGTACTAGCCCTGTTGTATGCTGGAGATCGAGGAAGAAATCGGAAGGATTTGAAAATGACTTCGTGGACGGACACGGACAGGAGCGCAGTCTTGTCGGAACTTTTCAACTGTTCTTCCACTTGCAATACTCGCGGCTTTGTCGATATAAGAACTTTCGATGAAACGATACAAGCTTCTATATCAGACATCAGATATCGATGTCAAATATTTTCAGAGCACTTCGTTAACGAGCGTCTCAATCGACGAAAAACAAAGAACAAATTCGGTACCAATCAATAATCAATACACAGCACAAAAATTTGTTTGCTTGACTCAACCTTTCAACTAAATATTACTTTGTTAATTGAACATGTAAAAATACTTAAATTAAATATAATATATTAAATGTATAACAAAACGTATATATATTTGACTTAAATACTAATATATGTTCAATTAACAAAATAGTAATTTAGTTGAAAGATTTAGTCAAATTAACAATTTTTTTTTTAGTGTAAATTGATATAATCCGATTTCATAATTTGAAGCGTTTTAGAAACAAGGTTTTTGCCTTTATCATATTCCGCCGCATTTTAATTAAAAAAAATATTTAAATTCATACACGAAAAAATTATCAACCACAGCTAAATTTTAGCTATTCCTATATTACACATAAAAAATAGTTATTATGCTTAAATTTTAGCTATAATAGCTAATATTTTTTAACTATAGAATTATTTGTTAAGCTCTAGCTAAAAAATATTACTATAGTTAAAATAGACATAATGACTAAATTTCAGTTTGTAATATAGGGACAAAATTTAGCTATAGTGGTTAATTTTTTTCCGTGTATTTATCAAGTATTAGCACAATACAAATACAAATAAAATATCAATTTATATATAAAATTACTTGCAAAAAAAATTTGCAAAAAATTTCGTTCGCAAGCATCCATAAAATTAAAAATTCATTGTTGATCAATCAATGAACTTAATGTGAATAATTTTATAACTTCAATAATTCTAATAAATGTTTCTCTGCAGAAGTAATGCAGACGCAAATGATATTCCTAGTCGTATTGCTTAAAGAGAGACCCTTTGTATTTCGCTAGAACTTTACACTTCTCTGAGTAACTTAATTTCCAGTTCGAGAGAAGGTTAAGGAAGGTGATGAGAAAGATGATGGAAAAGAAGAAGTTACTAGGTACTTCCAGCTTCCGAAGAATTAGCTTTGCTTTGTAATGTTTGAAATATAACTAATTCAAAAAATTTTGAAGCATATATCTTTTTCTCCACAAAAAAAGAGAAAAATTTTTATATCGCAAATAAATATTGTTTTCTATTCTTTTATTTTTATTACCTTAAAGTGTTATTAATAAATTTAGCAATATTGGCTAAAATTTATTCAAGAATTTGATTCATATATCTCATTTATATGAATAAATAATATAATATTTCTAGAGAGAAAATAATTTATTTCTATTCTGGATTCTTTTCTAAGAATTTTCCAGATTTTATTCGTTCATTCGGTTAAGGCTCGAGAAAAAAAATACGACTCACCATCTCGAGCTCCTTTCGAAGGGCAATCACTGCTTTCTCACGATCGGCTACGAGCTCCTCCAGGTATTGATACCTCAGCTTCTTACGAGCGCGACACTCCCTCGCACTCTGCCGGCTTCGTTCTGCAACAGAAGAGCAAACAGATCGAGGTAAGGAAACGCGGATTCATATTAATACGAGGAATCAATACATGCAAAGCGCGGGCCGATCCCCGAGACCGGTGCGACTAAAGTTTCAACGGAATTTGCGCCGGGCATAAATTTCTCTGGTTTTCGGCGTCAGGTTGTAACGTAATGGCAGGCCAAGTGGCAGATATATATCACGAGCTCTACAAGAATTCACGATTTAATAATGTCGCAGAACGCGCAAGACGCATGGTAATGCCGCGGCATATGCGACCGAACAGCGGAAACTTTTACGAAGGCGGACGCGATAAGCTATGATTTTGTTCCAACATAAGAGGAAAATAAACGTATCGCATATCAGGTGTCGAGCAAAATCGAGTTCGATGAAAAGCGAGACTAAAACAGAACAATTTATATAAACGATATCGCGGACGCGCGTTGCGCAATTTGAAACTTCCAATTTTCCAATCTTCTGCGATTGAACTCCGCGATTCTCCAATTTTTATCAGATCGTCGATTTCAATGTATTCCGAAATTCCATCGGATATTGAACTTTTAGGTTTCCTTTTTTATATAAAAGTTCTGCATTTTTGTTCTGAGACCATTATATTTTTACTAGCAACAAAGATTGAAGATTTGTTCTTGTATGGCAAAGTATCGAAAAATATCAAGATATTGTTAAAAATATAAAAACACAGAAATTTTTTGTCAAAAAAAATCACTGCGCGACAGGTGTAGAATAAACCATCTTTTACGATCTTTTTAGATCGTACGTTATCGTTTCACGGCTCATCGAGGGTCGCTTTTTACAGCGGCAATAAACGTCTCCCCGCCGTCTCATTGCGAACTTTTAAGAGGCAACCCCTGCCAGCCACCTATGATGAGGCCGATTTTTCGCGATTCGATCGACCCGCGAATTTTATCGGAAAGAGATTCACGTCGACGTCGATTGAAGCTGACACGCGCGATCGACGTCACGCCTGAGAAAATCGATTTACCAGCGCGCCGCGGAAATTAAGCGTTCTCTCACAGTCAATTTGTGGCTCCATTCGAGATCTCGTTGCGACGACCGACATCTGGACCGAATCGAGGCGAACCCCCAAGCGGGTTTAAATAAAGCCGGTTCCGTCAGCCGCGCGAACCCTGGATAAAATGGAGCTCTCGAGTTCATTCGCGCGGCCAAGAACGCCGGAACAGACGCGCAATTTCCGTCCGTAGGCAAGTATCCACTGGACGCCTGTTTAACGGTGGATAGAAAGTAAAGAAAATACATTTGTTCTAATCCTTTAACTGACTGACTGTAAGTGTGTCGATAATACACTATACCGCACGTAAACGAGATTGAAGGAAAATAGGCGTTATTGTCTAAATGAAGAACAATTGTAAATTCGACAGAATTATTTGGAGTTAAAAATCAAATGAAAAGTATATCTTATAAACAAATAAATGACTTTAGCGGAAAAATAACTTGTAATCAAAAAGTCTGGATCTATATATATTATCCAATTAATTCTCTTCAGGTTCTTTTGATAGAAATTAATTGTTTGCATATTAAAAACTTATTACTAATAATAAATTTGCTGCAAAGTTTTGCGCCCACAGCATCTGCTGCTGCGAAGTATGAAATTATAATTCTGGGAGAACATCGGGTGATCATCCGGGACCATGTGTATAGATCGAACATCGCGCGGGTCGTTTCCCATAGAAAGGAGGCCACATCGCGGTCGGCAAAGGACCGGGGAACGAAGACGGAAGAAAGAGACCGCAAAATAGCACGCGGGACGATTATAAAGTTTCGCGTTTTCCGGACGACGACCGCGCGCGCGCGTTCCAGAAATAATCTCGCGAAATTATTCTCATCGTTGTGATCCGTGGCAACTGCCGGTGCGCAACAACGCAGGTTTCATCCGCCACGCGCTCTCTCCATCTCATCTTTTCTTCCCCCTTTTGTTGTGTCGAGCTTCGGTTTTCCGCAAAACGACAGAATTGCAAAATAGCCGAACAACGCCCGTAATCCTCGGCGTTCGTTGGCAGTCGAGAGAGCCGCCGCGGGAACGACGATGGCATAAATATTCATTCGCGAACGAGATAAACGTTACTACGGCAACTCGCGCAATCAGCGGATACGCGGTTCTCGGGAGAATGTCGCTATCAAATGCTTTAATCAAGAGACGGTATGGTGGCATCGAGATGCCAGTGAGCATGTGCCGCGAGTATAAGCCGGCGCGAACGACCGATATCTGCTCAAACTGTCCGTTTTCATTGTCCCGTGGAGGATGCCGTCTTTCTGTTTTGCGCGAGTTTTTGCACCTTGGATTAGTGAAACGGGAGACGTTGGATAGATAAACGGCTGATATCTGCTTGTCATTCATTTGAGATCTGTTTTTCGCGCGAATTTTTGTGATTCGGAATTATGCAAATAAATTCAATTCTGCGTGAAAAGTCTAACGAGATATTCTTATCTTATATGTTGTATTAGGAATTTTTGAATTGCAATCAATCAACAAAATTAATATCAGAATATCATTGTCATGTATAATTTATGACATTATAGTAATCGATAGAACATATCGGAGCTACAGAGATAATCAAAATGTAATTCAATAATTTAGTAATAATTGCAGTGATTAAGTAATTAGTAATCTCTAATGTAGAATAAAATACTGATTAATATATTTATACATCGATTAATAAGTAATAAAAATAATCAATCATAATCAATGTTACGATTTTAATTCAATCTAAATTGACGTGGATTACATTATTGGAGCAGTTCTAATAAAAGCAATAATCTATCATTTTGTGATTAGCAGATGTTTATTAACGACGATGTTGATCAATGATTAACGATGACAAACCGCGGATGCAATTTATAATTAATGAATCTTAATGACGATTATTTAATTAATGATTCAACATTTCCTCATTAAAATCAAAACGGTTAATCGTTGTATAACAGCGCAATTATTTTGCGAAACTCGTATACGAAACAATTACGTTAGAATTTTAATCGTGGTGGGATGAGCAATCTATTATCGAGAAAATCTCGTATCGTTAATAAAACAGAGACGGAACAAACTGTTTCAACCAAGCGTCTGGAATGTCAACAGGTATACTTCATAGAACTACTTACCGAGCTTAGCCTTCATGTCCGCCCTGTCCGCCGCCTTTCTTCCAGGCTTGCGTCCCCTCTTGCCCCCCTCTTTCCGATCACCGCGAGATCCCTCCTGCAAAAATAAAACGACAGGATAATTAATTATAAAGGTAAAAAAAACCCCCTATAAAAATCAATAGACCTATGAGCAAATCGCATCATACATTTTGCTCTCAAATACAGTCGAGATACTGTCGAGGGAAAGAAGATAAGTCGCGCTATTCGTTGAAAACCAATCCATTTTGCCCCGTGGCTTTGCCGATCGGTTTTCCCAACTGCGTACATAGAAAATATACTAGTAAATAATTCTACCGAGAGGCGTTCGTGTGATTAATGATCGTACCGCAGGTATATTTGCGCGCAGGCCGGCGATGACAAATCTTTGCGCGAGATGAAGCATTAAAAATTGACACGTTACAAAACGCAACGGCCGGATTATTACGCTTACCCCATCGGAGCGAAAGCGCGCCATGAATAATTCCCCACGGGATAATTTACGATTCAATCAGACCGCGGTCTTTCACGCACACACGGCCGTTATAATACCGCTTGATCCGCGCCGGAGTTTCGCCAGCCACGATTAATATCTTGAGCGAAACACGGCGGTGTCATTTTCAATGGAAACAAAAGCTCATTGTGTCACCGAAGAGAGCAGACTGAGAATCGCGGGGGAGAGAAATTCCGTGAAAAGCTCTCGGGGGTGAAATCGGGTCTTCTCTGTCTTTTCCCCTCAATCGTAAACGCAAAGATGGGAATCGTCGAGCAACAATAATAATACCCTTCCTCTTTCGCGGGCACAACGAGTTTAATATCCGTGTGCTCTCTTTCTTTCTCTCTATCGCGTGCGCGCAACTAAACGATATTTGACAAACGCCCGTTTCATTGTCGCATTTAATCATTCAGTCAATTTTAGGCTTTACCCATCGTCCGACCCCGTCAGATGAAATCGTGAGAGAGGCGGGTAAACGCAATTTTTGGCTTGAATGGCTGCACGGCCAATCCTTTGTATATTTTATTTTATTTTATTTTTTTTTACGTTCTGCATGTAATGTTTTCAATCTCTCTCGCGAGATCTCTCTGACTTTGTTTTTAACAAAATTTAGAGATACGAAAAGAAATCCGGATTAATCGATAATCGTATTTCATATATTTTTTACTACTATTGCTCATTCTCATCTATTCTACATTGGATTCTACATTTTAAAATTGATGTAACATAAATATATAGCTAGACACGTGTATTTTTATTTCTTATGAAATTTAAGAGCAACTAAAAAATTTATTCTCTTTTTTCTGGTATAATATATTTCAGTATATTTCTCTCTTTGAATAAAATAATGAAATATTTTTTGTAAAAATGTTTTATATATATTAATTATTCGCAAGTCACTTCGATAGCATGTAAACTACAAAATCGCGCATTCGTAATGCTACGGAATATATAATGCATATCTTATTATAAGGCAATGCGGTCAATGCCATATTCTCATTGTCCCGAGGATATTATTTATGTAAAGTATATGTTTGCCGTGCATATACGAAGTGCTCCAAGTCAAACAAGAAAGCAACGCGCATACATTTTCGCAAAATGCATTTTCGCGCGATCCTCATTTCGCGTCGCGGCGAAAAACAAGCGTCTGCATGCAGAAATAATTTCAACGTGGCACAATTACTTGGAGGAGCAATTTCGCGAGTGCATAAAGCCAACGTATTATTTCAAAGAAAGAAATTCAAACTATCGAGAGAGTTTCGAAACGTCATCTTAAATATCTTATAATGCTATTTAAATAAAATCAAGAATTTTCAATAAAAATGCCGATAAAGTAAATAATCGTGATTATTAAAATGAAGAAATCGACTTCAAGACGAACGGAAACATTGAAAATAAAATATACGCACATCGACTCCGCTTCCTTGAAAATACGGGAAACCTGCGGTCAACGGACACGCACCAGATAGAATGCGGCCATTTCTTGTCGACGTGCACACGAGCCGTTAAAATTTACACGCCTCTCGAGCACGGTTGTTGCATACCACGAGGCTTTTAGATATGCATTCGCGCACTCAGGGGTGACAAAACACAAATTCCGCCTCCCTTTAAGACCTTTATTTACCGCCTTCCGACCTGTCCGCTCATCTCAATCTTATCTAATATTAAATCTCCCCGAATCCTGTTGCTGTTCCACTTCCGACCACTTCCGTTTTCTTTACCTCTCTCTCTCTCTCTCTTTATCGACTCTTTTCCTCTCTCTCTCTCGCCCCCTCTTTTCTTCTGTACGTTTTTATGCGAGATAATTAGAACTGATTCCCGTCTATGGTAAAACGCACGTCATAACTTCGAACGCGAAAACACACGAGCAGAATTATGCAACTGTAAATCGAGAACGTAGCATATACAAACAGAGGGTTGTTAATTACTATTTTTTACATCTTGCAATATTATGCTGACGAGGCGTACAACGATAGGGATGCAAACATCTCGTTACCGAACGTAATATCTCTCATATTGTTCCAGAAATGTAGGCATCTCTAAATTATAGATTTTTTACTAAATCGCGAAGAGACGATTCTTTCCTAGTATTAATTATTAAAGTGAAAAACGATATAATTTCAAAATTAAAACTTGTAATAATAATCATTTTTTCTAAAATACAGAGTATTTCTTAATTAATTTCAAATTATTTAAATAGAATTTAAGCTTCTAAATAAATTATCACTATGTAGAAAAATGACAGTATTATATATTTTTAATTTTTAATATTAGAGGTCAATTATGCATATTCAGATTATTTTGTTTCAGTAAATAAAACAAACTTTTAATTAAAAGTTACAAGGTACACAGTCAAGTGGAAATATGCGAGAACGCGCGTAACGTCAAGTGCAAATTGCCGTTAGCAAAAATAAAGAATATCTTATAATTAGTCTGCCATAACAGCTTGTTACAAAGAATCACGAATTAAAGAAGACTTAAAATATCCGACAAAAATCAACGTCAAAACCTATGCATAGATTTTAATTTTGATATAGATATTTAAAAAATCTAACATATCTTTAAAATCATTTATAAAAAAGATATAGATAATTATTCAAAAAATCTGACATCGTTATTAAGTTAATCAGAAAATAACTTTAACATGAGAAAAATGTAAGTTCAGAAATAAAATAAACTATCGAATGTGTCTCTTATGTCAATTATTATGAAATCGTATCTAGGTCATGGGATACAGACGATCATCCGCAGCTGTAAACTCTTCCGGAATCTACCAGACATTCTGCTGACATTGACATTTCCGTCTACTTCCTTGTCTCTATCGTGTCACACACTCGCAACCACATTCCAACCGCGAAGACACCCGCGAGAGTATATACATACATATATATGTTTATATAGAGTTTAGCTTCGACTCCTCTCCCTGCGTGCGACAACCTATCGACGATTTGATCAACGTACATCCGATCAACGAAGAAACAATCTGTTCGTTTCCGGAGTTCGACAATCGACTATTTTGCAAACGTCGACTCCGACGAGGAAAATGTTTCCGCAACGTGCGGAATGAGTGCAGGCGCGTGCATAATGCGTCAATAAATGGCGTGCCACCGTGGCGAGTATCGCATTGATGGAAAATTTCCATAAAGCATATCTGATGGTTATCGACGCGCGAAACGCGCATTCTGATTACGTCTCTTTGCATCATAATCGTATAAATGCCGGAATGAGAATGTCTCTCGATATTATGCGCGGAGAAATGAAAAAAAATGAAACGGAAAATGAAAATAGAATATTAAAATTGAAAACTTTTAATTTGCATATTTCTCAAGCAGACTTCTATCGATTTTATAGAATCTATCTAGTATTATATTATCAATGAAACAAGCATTCCGATTGCATCTATATGTTATTATATAAAATAGAAAATAATGCACTTGTCGAGAAATATGCATTGTATATATGTATATACATATAAAACGCTGAATTGATAACCTTTGTGAAACATGTCAATCGGACATTACATTTTGTTGATATATTATAGCATAAAATAGAAATATGCAATAAATCTTTCAATGGTATTATTCTCGCTTACGTATCAACGTGCGCAAATATTCATACGTACAATCGATTTCTACTTATATATTACAATTTTCACGGTGCTTGCGATTTTAACGATCGTCAGCTATCGGAGGCGAAACATAAGCTCCCGTCGAAAGGAACATAAAATTTTACGATATTTTTCTTACATTTCTCATTGTTAACAGCATACACATGCGAAACAATGTTCCTCGTTTAAAAAGTAATTTCAATCATCTAAAACTCCATTATTTGATGCTGTTACAAAAAATTGGACACAAACACCAGTATAAATTTCCGGCAAGATAATATCTGTTTTAATGTTTCAAATTTGTATTTGCGTGAAGGAAAAAATGTGTTAGCGTATTATCGATATCTCCGATTTCTTGTGGTCCAAATGTATCAGAAATCTAAAATATCCTACGCATATAAAATTCTTTATATCGCAGGAGTATTGTACAAATATGCAATACTCTCTTCGAATCAATCATTTCAAGATTATACCAGAAATTAATACATCTTTAAGAAAATACACCTTTTGACTTGAACTACGATAATGGCAAAAAAAATAAAAAGCGATATAATCTATACTTCGTAATCTGCAAGCTCTTCTACGTATAATGCTTTCACACCACTTTCAGACACGGCATGTTTTTTTGCTACGAAAGCTCGTCTAGAAAAAACGTATTTGCCCTAAAAGCAGCGAAGTAAAAATGTTATTATCTTTTATGGATACATTTTCTGCACTCGTATCGGCCACATACTCTAAAGTGTGTGAAAAATAGATTTTTTATTACTGAAAGAGAAGGACTGAAACGAGATTAACTATAGGAAATACGTAAACAATAACGACCGGGGAGACCTAAGACACTGTGCGTATATATCCCTTCTGTTCTAACATTAATCAAGTTGAGGCATAACACTTCAAATGGGAACTCTGAACCGTTGTCTTGCTACGGTTACCGGATGCACGATACTGCGTCGCTGCACTCGGAGGCCGGATGCCC